TTTCCTTTACTTTTCCCTTCTCTTCTTTGCCTTTCTTTTTCTTCTTATTTATTTTTTCTTTCCAATTTCTTCTTTTTTCCTTCTCTCTCTCTCTCTCTCTCTCTCTACAATGTTGATTTAAGGTTTTGTTTGTATAAAATAAAAAACAGTTTCATATAGTGCTAATTAGTGTTTCACTAAATCCAAATTGCAATCAAATTCTACATTTTCTATTTATATAACATTTAGTAATTCCCATAATTAAACACTATGTCTCAAAATTCTATTTTATTCGTCTTAACCTCTTATTCAATATCTATTTCCTTCTTTGTGAATAATTTATTTTTGACTATTCAAAATTACATTTTCGATTAGTAAAAAAGTTGAAGTATTAAAGATATACCCCCGTACCCGTATCTGAAATTTGGACTCTTCTTAGAAATGTTCTCGGATCCTATATTTTAGAAAATAAAAAACGACACTTAGATACGCACTAGTGCCTGATTGCAATACCCGTAAGCAACAGTCCAACGAGCCCATCATCTGATTATGACAAGAAAGGATTTATGTGCATTATAGGAAATTACCATGCAGTAAATCAATTTTTTCATTGTGCATATCAGTACCATAGCATGGAAGTTATCAACTGGTGACCTATCTTTATAACTGAACATCCAAGAAAACCCCAAGGAACTGTCATTAAGCTATATTGGAAATTCCTGTGCAGTACATGCCAGACTTTAGTATAGAGGACAAATCATGATAACTACAACTATTGATAATTTCAAACAGATAGACAGTATCGAGGGAGCTTAATCTTTATAAATAGTATGTTATTTCATCTATCCAACAAGAAGACCCCTGACAAGAAGTAAGTTCCAACGAATTCTTTCCTTTCAAGTTGAAGGTCCAGGAGAGAAATACCTAATTCATAAACCAACACACACAAAGCTAACACCTTATTAGTTACCTGATTCATGTGCCATCCTCTTGGACCTCTCCCCGTCAAATCTATCTGCACAAGGAGGAACATCAAAAACCTAAGGCATTTTATACTAAACTGAAAAAAGTCCAGATTCCAGTTCATGTAGAGCAAAGACAGATGTAATCGCCAATGCGAATGTAGCCGCAAATTTTATACTAAACTGAAAAAGTCCAGATTCCAGTTCATGTAGAGCAAAGACAGATGTAATAGCCAATGCGAATGTAGCCGCAAAATAGTTCCCTTCACAGCTCAGACCTCGTAAAATGATCAGACTCCACATAAACAACCCCAATGCACACACTGAAACTGATGAACCAGAAATGAGCAAAGAGAAGAGAAGAATTTTACACCCTTTCTTTCATAAGAATCGAATAGTATCTGACCAAAGGATTTCCAGCTGTGGATGAAAAAGCACCAAAGAAAACCAGATTCTGTACCAATATGAAGTGAAAATCACATTCCAAGCAACTCTTAAAAATATATCAATAAAACAAACCACAACAAAAAATTAACAATATTGGCTCCACCATCCTGAAAACCACTTTACTAGAGATTCCTGACCCGTGTAGGTGCCCCAAAAAGTTCAAATGGATTCCTTCCTTTCAAGTTGAAGGCCTTGTCTACAAAGGTAGGGAGAACAAACTATAGGTAAAAGGGCCAACAAAATCAAAAACTAACACCACAAATAAACTTAACACCTTATCAGTTACATGTGCCATCCTCAAATGCAGACACACATCAGAGAAACTAAGGTGATTCAAAAGACTGAAAAAAACTAGATTCCATTTCATGTTAGAGCAAAGACTAGCTGCAGTGAACAATGAATAAGTTCCCCTTAACATGGCCTTGGTCTTTGTGAACTGATCAAACTCCACATGAACTCCCCCAATACACAACTGAGACTGATGAACCAGAAATGAGTGAAGAAAAAGAAAGGAAAATCTTACACCGTTTATTCCGTAAATATCCATTTTTATTTGACGAAAACGATTTCCAGCTGTGGATGAAGCACCAAAGGAAACCAGATTCTGTACCAATATGTATGTGAAGATTATATTCCAATCAACTCACAGAAACGTCAATTATAACAAACCACAGCAAACAATTAACGGCGTTGTTTTCCCCACTATCAACCGCTTAAAACTGCAAATTCCTAAGGAATAAAGCAATGCATAAAAATACCAAAGGAAGCCTTTTGTAAGGATCAAATGACAGAAATGGTACCAGAGGACTAAAACTCCATTCCTAGCAAAAAAGATCAAAGGAGTGGAACCTGCAACACCACTATACACTAAACAAGACTTAATTTGCCAATCAGAGTCAAGGTTGTGTGCATTTTGAAATTAATCTATGCAGAATCAAGACACTGAAATACCAGAGGACTAAAACTCCATATTTTGCCCCTTCTCCAAATGGTGTCACAGTCCACCAAAATATCATCTGCAAATACCTAAATTATTTAGAAATATGAGAGTAAAACTTAAACATCATGTGAAAATATTATCCTAAACAAACCGCAGGAAATAATTATTTAGCTTCAGAACTGCCTTTCACTACGAACACTAAGCATAAACAGTAGAAGTATTCGGAATAGATGTTCTAACCAAGTGAAACATATAAGTCTGCCTGTCGACCTCATCTCATAATACCCCTTCAGAAATAAGATACGTACATGGAAAACTGACGAGCAGGTGCAGAATTGTGAATACTCTTATCCATTAGTAAATACAGAATTGCAGGTAAAATTTGAGTTCAAGGAAAGAGAGAATGAACTTCATACAAACGAGCAGGTGCAAAAAATCCTCCCATTATCCTGCAATTTCAATGCTACAAAAGTTGTAGAAGATTGAATTGTTGCCGCCTACTAATGTAGGGTAGTTCTCTACAGAAGTAGAGGAGAAAATGGAAATATAGAACCATCATATCCAACTATAAAGGGTGCTTACTCAAAAAAGGGTAATGGATCAGTATATATTAGAAATAGGATAACATTGAAACCCCAGTGCTCAAAAATACTAGGAAAGAATGTTACGAAAACAAGTTATTGCACCTAAAGGAATCTCTGTGTTCCTTAGAAGAGTTCAATATTTCATCAATCTTGCCCAAACTTAGAGTTCTGTTCTTATCAATGCCAACTGCCAGTCCACCACCCTATCTAGTAGGTACCCATCTGGATCAAGGGTTATATAAAGGGATAAGAAGTATTTTCAACAAACCAAACCAAGACCCTGAAATTAGCAGCCGAAGTTTCAAAAACAGCCGACAAAAGCTTGAAAGATCGGATGGTAACCACAGCAATTTTTATAAGCAGTTTCTGCAAACGGAAAGGGAAAAAGGCAGGAAGCTGAAAAGAGGGGGAAAATTGAATGGAATAAGAAATGACGGTAAAAGGATAGAAAATACAAATAGATTGATGACACCCTGAGACCTAATAGTTTCCCTATCACGCATTACTCTTCTTGTCGAATCTGCCTGCATGCGAAAAAAAATATCAACCTAAGGCATTTTTATATGAAAAGACCCAAAAAAAAGTTCTACATTTAATTTTATATAGAGCAGAGTCTGAGAGAGGTTACAAATCACCATCGTAAGCATGGGCCGTGGCTGCAGTAAACAATGAATAGGTTTCCCCTCCAGAACACCTTATAAAATACCAGCGTCCACCTGAACTCCCTCCAACACAAGCTGAGACCATTGAAGAAGAAATCAAGTAAAACATCTGAGAATCTTACACCCATTTTTATTAATATCCATTATCATGACAACTTCCATCAGCGGATGAAGAATCACAACAGCAAACGGTTTTCCCATTATAAGTGTGAAGATCATATTCCATGACAACCGAAAACCATATAAATAATTGCTTCACACCATCCTGAAAACCACTTGATGCGATTCCTGAGAACCAAAGAAACTCATAGACACACACCAAAGAAAGCCTTGTGTATGGGTCAAATGATAAAAAATAAAAACCCAAAATCACAAAAGTAGGCTCCACTGCACCCCCCACCAGTAACACCACTTTCTGATAATTAACAGTTCACACCTGAATTTTCTGATGGCAATTGAAATCGCATGCACTTAAAACCAAATAAAGAGATTCCAGGTGCAAAAATTTGCGTCCAAACAACTCCATGTCTTAATCACTAAAACAGATCCGGACCTATAAAAAATCTGAACAGGAGGAAATAAAACCAGGGCAACAAATCTGGATGAAGTAAATAAAATCGAGCAGAAAGAGATTGGTCCCAAAAAAGGAGGGGAAACGAGCAGCTAAAATAACCCATAAATCATGAAAAACCCCGACCATACAAATAACGAGTATCAAGAAAATTTGAGAATACCAGTTCCACGCCTGGCAATGGCACCAAAATCCAATCCTTCTATATAGATTCTTGAAATAACTGTCAGTGTATCTAGCTGGGATGGCCAACCAAAAAACCAACACCAAACCGCCAAAAGCAAGGAAGAAAGCCACAAAATGGACGGGCTAAAACCACCAAAAAATCCTCATGAAGACCCAAGATTAAAAATAATTAGTATTAAGAAAATACAAGTTTGCAATATCACCAAAACTCATCCTTCCAAAGCTTCTTGGAATTAATGTCAGTATATCTATCATTATCATCATCATACAAGGAAATCATATCTAGGATTCAATGGATAAATAAAAATAAATAAAAATCCAAAGTTTCGGCCAGAGAAAAAAACTCCAAACCTTCAAAACTTCTTCTTCCCACCCCACTAATAGTAATCGATAAAAAATTACCAACACTTGTACTGCCACCAAAATACCAAAATCAGCAACTGCTGAACCAAAGAAGAAAAATCAGAAAGACCAAGTTCGCATAATGAATATCAAGAAAATACCAGAAACCCAGATTCTTGAAATTATTGTCAGGATATCAAGAAAACACTATATACTTTCAAGTTAGGATTCAAGTGCTAAACAAAAAAATCCCGTTTTTGCAAAATTATGAGAACTACACAGGAGAGAAAAGAAACTAATCAAATCATATCATAAGTTCTTATTCTCGATCCAGTAACTGGAATCAATACGAAATTACTAAAAGCTTGGACGACCACAAGCATCTGCCAAACCAAAAAAGAAAACCCAACAAAACGGAGGAAAACGGGGTAAACATAAAGGCCAATGTTCCAATAATGAGTATCAAGAAAATACCAGCAACCCAGGTTCTTTAAATGATGGTCTCGGACAAGGAAATCACAACACCTTCAAGTTAGGATTAAAGGGATAAACGATAAATCAAACTTGATCAAATCAGGGAAGAAAAACCCATGGAGAATCATCAGAAGAGTGTCAAGAAAATACCAGAAACCCAGAGTTGAGTGATTATCTGCTTGATCATCGGACCAGGAAATCACAATATCTAATATTAACAAACCAAGAAAGAAAACCCCACAAAACGGAGGAAAACGGGATAGAACTGCCAAAGAATTATCAGAAAGATCCAAGCTTCAAATAATGAGCATCAAGAAAATACCATGAACCTAGGTTGTTGGACTGATCACCAGTATATCTATCATCAGACCATGAAATCATAATATCTTCACGTTAGAATTCAAGAGTATATCTATCATCAGACCAAGAAATCATAATATCTTCACGTTAGAATCCAAGGGATGAACGAGAAAACCCAAGTTCTTCCAAAAATACGGGAATCGAGAAAATACCATAAACCCAGATTCTTGGAATGATTACCAATACATCTATCATCAGAGCAGGGAAATCATAATATCTTCACGTTGGAATTCAAGGGATGAACGAGAAAACCAAAGTTCTTCCAAAAACACGAAAATCCACAAGGGGCATTCGTACCATCGAATTCCCTATGCTCAATCCAATAATTGAAATCAATGACACACGACCACCAATAACAAAAGCAACACCGAAAATTAATACCAACCCGGACCACCGGCTTCCTAATGATTGATGAACAAGGCTAGGCGATCCAATTTATAGACAATTAGAGGAGATATAAACGGCTAGATAAAGTTACCGTATTGATCTGAACGGTCAAATTCGCGTTACAATCCTTGTGGAAATCGGAAACTTCGTCAGTCGGTGAGTTTTAGGCGGCGATGGATTGTCAAAGTCAACAAGGGTGGGTGTCTATTTTCTATTTATATTGATAAAAAAAAATAATAATTATGTAATTAAATATGAGTTAATACTTGGCCGAACAGCCCTGTAATTAAAATTTTGAATAACCAGAATAATGTTAGGAATAATCTTAGAATCCGTTTAATTGCAAAGATAAAATTTGGGTGGAAAAAAATGAATTTCAAAGTAATTGAATTATCTGTAAATTATTTTGCTCAGAATTGTAAATTATTGTGTTTGATTGGTATAATTTTTCACGTGAAAAATGTTGAAATAAAAGTGTTTTTTGGTGTTAGTTTGGCTTGATTTTATGTTAAAATTATCAATTAAATGGATAGAATTTACTGGTATTGGGGATGAAATTTGTTTCAATTGCCAACAAATTTTTTTTCAAGAAAATCATCTATCTTTTGATATTCATTTGATTTTGTTTTACATGGAAATTATTAATTAAAATGAAATATTTTTTTACAATAATTCTTAGAATTTATTTTCATTACCAAAAAAAAAAAAAAAATGCTACAGTAGCCTAAAAAATGGTGATAATTCATTTTCATCCAAAACCTAGAAAATGTCTAAATGACAAGGAATGGTGGAAAACGTTTGAATATTTTCCTAGTTCCACGGAATTCATTTGATATCAAACATAGCTTTAGTGTACATAAATGTGTACATAAATTATGTATATCAAGCACAACTCATAACATTATTTGTAAGTTTTACTTATAAAAAGCATCATAGAGATTAAGCCCGCCCGTGTCCCTCATTAAATCTCATCAAATTAAATTAATTTTTTCTCTCTCATATTTTAACTTCAAATCTCCAATAAAATAACATTACACGTAAATCGAAAAAAAAATTATTCTTTTACAACCATCTATTTTTCAAAAAAAAATATTATTCCTTCCATTATAATAAAAAATAATGTGGGCTAAACAGGGGGCTAAATTACAACTCAAATGACAAAAGCTAAGTCTTAATAGGATAATAACATGATTTCGACCCTCAATTGAGGGTGATGGTGAAGTTAAAAACTTAAGCGATAAAAGATTATTGAGTCTTACCGAATTAGTGACTTGGTTATTTGAGAGGGAATGATGAAGTTCAAAAAATAAATTGCAGCTTACGTGGAAGTGATGTCACCATCACATTCTCCCAGTGAACACATACTACATTATCATATAGATAGTTGGGAAATAAAATAGATCGAGGTCACATATAAGACACTATGAAATATATGATCGCAAATAAATAAAAGGCAAATAATTAATTAGTAGAGGAACGAAGTATTTTATTTCATTGACTAATATAGAGATAACAAATACAATAATTGAGCCTACACAATTACTCTCTATTTCAATAATACAAAACTTGTAAAAAGTCTAGTATTTATAGAGGTATGTGTCAAACTTTAAAAATACCACAATGATGGAAACAATATCAAAATACTCTTGGAATAAAAAAAAAATATTTTCTCAAAAGTCTAATCTAATTTGGGTCAAAAAATCTAACAATCTCTAACTTGATACAAATTTAAATGCAACAAACTCCAAAATTTTTCCACTTGAAAAAATAAATCTGACTGCAACGAAAAATTTAAACTATTTAATAAGAACTAAACTTTTTTCAACGCAAAAATACTCCTTTTTCCATGATATCCAATACAGATACAAGAACACAAACACTTGGCTCCCCAGGATTTACAAATAATTAGAAATTACCAAACGGTATCGAAGCACACTCCGTACCATAATCAACTTCTAATACTTTCATAGAAGGGCCCTAACTAGTCTCAACACCTTCAAAAACGCTAAAAGCATGTGCAACCGAAATCAGCATCCACGTACCTATCTCCAATGGATCTATCCTTAGTAGTTGAATATGATGGGACTATAGGGTAATGGTGGCAAATCGAAATTATCCATATCCTCCAAAGTTGATTGGGTAGTATTCTTCAATATGGACCTCGAATCAAATCCCAAAGGTATAGTACAAATTGAATCTCCATTACGGTGTTAAATATGTGCTGACTTTTCTTCACAAATTCTGTCCGACCTTGTAGAATGTATAATTGAGACCTCTTTTCTCCCTCAATACACATTCAAAAACACATTTCCGATCCCTCAAGACTCCAACTCCTCTAGAGAACGTGTACCGTTTTGAATCAAGAGTGCTCATGTATTGATATTTTTCTTCAAGTCTAGAATATATCGAACGTGATTACGTGTTTTACATATTCTATTCATCATCTTCAATCTGATTATACTAATACCAGCTTCCCGACAAGGTTTATTGTTACCAATGACGATGACACATTGCGTCACCATTTCATATGTTTTCAAACAAATCTTGATTGGTACCCATATGGAATGTACAAGCTGTATCCAAAATCCACTTTTCGCTAGGTTTGGATTCTATGTCAGAAATCGTAAAAAAATCTCTATCACTCAAATATTTTTCAACTATAAGTATTTTATTGATTTTCATGATTCGCTATCAAGTTACCTTTGTTCCACAACTTGTTTGCAAACTCTTTTAATGTATTATTCCTTCTTACAATAATAACAAACTTAATTACTGAAATTCGACCTCAACTTACCCCTTTCTTCGATCACTATGAACAACAAGGCATTATCCATCTCCGACCTCAATTTTAACCAAATACTTCACCTTCTCTTTTGAAAACGATGCATTATATGCATATTTATTGGTGAGAGTGTCATGACTATACAAGATCATATCTCTAAATGAAGTAAATGATGCTGGCATCGAATACAAAATGATTAAGGCCAAATCTTCATCATCATACTTCACCCTAAAATCTCCAAATCAACAACGATCTCCTTGAACATAGCCAGATGATCTTCCAAAGATCCGTCTTTCTGTCATGCGATGAGAATACAACATTTGCTTTAGATATAATTCTTGCCAAACTTTTAGACATCCACAATTGCTCCAACTTCAACCACAATGCAGTTACCTTTTTCTCCTTCAAAACGTCCTGAAAAATATTATTAGAGAGATGAAGACAGAACTGTAAAAGTTTTTCCTATCCTTTCATTGCCCAAGTTGTAGGCATTTTGTCAATTCCCAGTAATACATCATCCAAATTCAACTGCATGAGTACAACTCGTATCTTCACTTGCTATAATGAGAATCTTGACTATAATCAATAACAAAAACCTTGAATAAGTCACAACGAATAGCTATTATACTATCTGTTGGGAAATAAAATGAAGCAAAGTAATCTATATGACACGATAAAAAAGATAAAAGACAAAGAATTAATTGACAGGAAAACGATTTATTTTATTCAATTGACTAATATGGATAAAACAAATTCAATAACCGTGCTTACACAATTATTGTATAATTATTAATAAAAAATTTGTGAAAGGAGTTTAGTATTTATAGGAGTGCATACCAAATCCTAGAAGTACCACAAAGATGGAAAAAAGATCAAAAATTACGTGAAATAAAAGAAAAAATATTTACTAAAAAAATCAACATAAATTGGGTAAATACAAACCTTGTTTGTAAAGATGACTCACAGATAGCATTTGCTCATTTATATAATATATTTAACCCCTGCTTGATTTTGATAAAAATAAGATTTTTAATAGATTTTGATAAATTTTGATAGAATATGTGGTAGAAAAGTTGTGGATATCATAAAATGTATGGTTAATAATTGCTAACCTTCATTTTAATTGTAATTCGCTTTTGCAGTTGAGCCAAACATGGACATAATATTTTTTTTCCAATCGTAAAAATTTGAACATTAAAGTAGATCTTGAAGGTGTATATAGGAAACTTAGAACACTTGCTAATGTTAGTTTTGAACAAGGCATGTAAATCGACTTGTTGAACAATTACATGAATACGTTCTGTTATAGTCTCTTCGGAGGATCCTTACCATTAGAAATTGTGTTGTAGATTGCAACGATCTACCAAGATGACCTAGGGCCCTAAGAGTCGGGCCTATTTTGATGCTTGATTTGGAATTTTTTGTAGGTTAGACTACCTGAGTTGCTAATACGCATAATGCCATTTGTATACTTCTGTGTACAAATTAATGATGTGGATTATATTAAGTATTAACTAATTTTGTTTTCTTTCCTTCTCTCTCTCTCTCTTATAATCAATCTGTACATAATGATGTACAAATAGTATCACTCTTTCAATAATCACACTTCTCATAGAAGCACAAAGATCTCAAGCTAAAAACATTTTAAACTATTACAAATCTATTAATCACAATAGTCTTCTATTGCCTTAGTAAATTATAGTCTGTTTTAACTTTTCCTAATATAAAGAAAGCTAACACACAACAAAATGAAAATTTTGAGTACATTATTCTGTGAGTCATGTCCTTTTCTACATGAGCAATGCTACTCATATATAAGGAGGTATATAATGATTTACATATAAATAAGTTGTCAAAAAAGAGAGTAGGAAAATTCTTTTTATTTGATTGAAGAAATTCCGACCCAATCATATTTCACCACATTATTTATAGATAAACCATTATATACATATAGCATAACCATTTTCACATTGTTCAATTTTCAATAAATTATATGAAATTTGCTTATAACTTGGAAAAATGATGGAGTTGGATTATGATTCTATTTTGTCGTATAATCAATTAAACTCAGTTAACTGATGTAGTAGGACTTTGTTCTTGTACCTTGAACTAGAACTTGATATCAGAGTATCTTTTAGCTTTCAAAATTCTTATCAATTAACCTCCAATTATTTACCTGAATATGGATCCCAAATGATACATTCTATACCATTTCAAAACTACAGATGATTGTAACATATTCGGTCGCAATTAATAATAATTTCAAATTTATTTTTAAATTACTCATTTTTAAAGTTTTTCAATGCTAAAAATTTGTTTTTTGACGAAATAAATAAACTTATTTTCTAAAAAGATGACCTTAGGGATATTAAAGCATGCTATTCAGAAAAATATAGGCTATTTTATAATTAATTTTTAAAATTATAAAACTCTGTTAACAAAAGTAGAAATGTAAAATAAATTGAGATGAGTAGGTATAAGTAGGGGTGGCTCGGCTCGGTCCATGAGCTCTTGATTTCGGCTCATCTGAACACGAGTGGAGCTGGTGGGGCGCTCGATTCGGCCCTTGAGCTCACGAGCCGAGCTCGCCCTCTTCCTTTTTTAAGACTTGCGATCAACTACTTATTTTTTTAGTAGGTAGAGTAAAAATTGTACTCGAATAAATTATTACACACACACATATATATTTTTTTTAAAAATTGAATATTATTAAGAAAATAAAATTATGAACTTAAATATCATTTACTTGATCAGACGCAATTTGGGTATATTGATTTTGGACTCAATAATCAGGTCTTATCAATCTTTTATACACATTAGACTTTCTAATATGTCTTCTTTGAGTCATGATATGAACTTAGACAAAACTTGGCCACCTGTATTAAAAGTAGACTCAGATGTTACAGTACTAAATGAAAGTGCTAGTAGATCAAGTGTAATGACAGAAATAACTGGATATGTTTGTTCGTGACGTCTCTAAAAATCCAGTAAATTATCGTCATTACATTCGTTGGTTCTACAGATCTAAGTATCTGATGACTAGAATATAAATTTAATTGTGCAGGAATTCAACGTGGACCTATGTCCAATGTATTTTGATTGTATAAATGAGATATACTAAAGAACTCACAATAAATATTTCATCCCTAACGTCTATGAATGAATTCAATAATTTTTACAGTTTCGATTCAAAATTATCGATAGGAGGAGGGTGCGGAGGGTTTCGTCTAACATGCACACCAATCTTAGTACATACAATTCATACATTTCAATTAAATTCTTCCCTAAATTAGAATATGTTGTTGAAGAGTTCTGATTTCCTTTTGCCATTCCAATTTTGTTTGGTAATATTTGCATACGGTTTTAGATTCTTGCACTCCATCTATTATATGAACCGTGGAAACCAATTTGAAGTGTTCTCAACATTTCACAATTGTTTGGATTTTTGCTTACCGCGTGCTTCTTCTTCATCAATGTCATCCAAACTAATTGGATAACCATTGTCATGCAGATTATCGACTTTCAAATTGTCAAGAATTGGTATGTCATTGAGATAGCTAAAATCATTATCGAACATAGAAAACATGGAATGTGTTGTCAATGGTGAGTTATAACCGCCAGAAATAGCCTCAACATAACTATTGAGATCCATTTGTATAAAAAGAAATTGGAAAGTACAAATAAAAAAAAAAATTATATATGAATAATTGAATTGAGAATGAAGTGAGAAATATAAAGAATGGTTATGAACAGATAAGTATTATTTGAAGAAATTGACTATATAAGGAATTGATTTGAGAATGATAAATTTAGACTATAAATTGTAGAAAATAGATTGTCGGAATTATTGCGAAAAATGGGTTAAAATAGTGGGTAATTATAGAGGTTTTTTTTTTCAAAAAATATAAAAAATAACCAAGCGAACGTTTGGTACCTAATGATCACATTTCCAAAGTTAAATGTGACCTGTCACAAAATAAAAACGAACCCACGAGTGAACGACGAGCTGAACTTGCTAATTCTTTTGGTACTCGGCTCGTGGACAACCTGTGCGAGTGAGTTAACAAGTTGCTCGATCCAATTGCCACCTTTAGTATAAGTTTAACCAGATTGTCCAACCTATGGTAGCTTGCCTAGGCCAACATGATAAAACTTACCATCATAATAAAATCATTTATTGTAAGAAGAAATATGTTGGTTTAGAGAGTGGGCTGACATTTTCGAATAATGCTATATTGTCATTAAATAATAAGTCAAATTAAACATGGCGTCAGAAGATACATTTAAATGGACTTACCATGTGCTACCATGTTTTAGCACCAATGATGTTATTAAAACATTACTTGTCATTTTTATTGTTATGTGCACTCACTAAATCCACACCAACTCCCTTGGGAACAATCACAATTCAATCGACATAAGTATGATTCATTGAAGAGGACAATTTGTGCATTCTATTTTTCTTTTTAAAAATAAAGGATTAACTTATCAAAGACAATAATACATATGTTCAAGATTTTCTTGAATTAGATGATTCCTAATGATTTAGTTCATATTTGGTGTAGATTAAAAGTTAATATAAACAATAAGTTAAAGTTAATAATTAATTAACCATGCACTTATAATTTTTCAATTACATATTTCATTTAATTTTATTAAAATTTACTAAATATTTGATTAATATTGACTTAGTATTAACTTTTATAGAGTAATGCTATACGAACCGAAAAGTTTCACATAATTCATGCAGGGAATACTTGGCACAATCTCATTGGAGTTGGTACACACTGTTTACTGTTATAATCTTTTGATTTTTCCTAAAGCTTTTTTCATCTTATCATAGATAATTGGTTTCATCAGGCCCTGTTTATCATGTTGCAAGTTTAATCTGGTTCACAGTAGATACTTGACTTTAAAATTTTTGCAACTTCATTTTAGGCTTTCGTATCATTTTGTAGTATTATAGAAATCTTACTATACCAGTCACATCAATATACATTTGTTATGGTTATTTCTGGTTTGATGAAAGTACAAACACGATGTTTCGGACCATACTTTGATGATTCGTGGCGGTAATAAAACATGGCTATCTCCTGGACCTGTACTCTGAAAAAATATACATAAAAAAGGAAAGTGGCAGTAAGATAGTTGGGAGTAGCTTACTGAGCCTGAGCCTCATAGACTATGAGCATTTTATGTATTCAGATCATCTAATTGACTGTTGTAGTTTTAGTAAGTTGCATGTAGACCGTTTAATATCTTTTAGCTCCCTTCTCTACATGACCAGGAGTGGACGTGTTCCTTTTTTTTGGGTAATTGAGATGAGAGAGGGTATTTAAGTTGAATTCTTGAGAAACATATATTATTATAGACTCAACTGCTAAGATTACTGACTTAGGATGGTGCTATTATGCAAGCCCTGTCTCTACGTTCTGTAGTTATGAATCATGAATTATGACTTTATGTTATGTTTGAAATTATTTCACAACTTCATTTATATTATAGGAAACTGGACTCGTATATGAAAGTGCTTGTATGCATATGTAGGTGGCTGTTGACAAGTTCTCTGGACGCTCTCGTGGCTTTGGATTTGTCTCCTTTGATGAAAAGAGTGCAATGGAAGAGGCCATTGAAGCCATGAATGGAATTGATTTAGATGGCCGAACCATTACTGTTGATAAAGCGCGCCCGAACCAGGGTTCAGGTAGAGATTATGACAATGATCGCTCACGTGACCGTGAACGTGATCGAGGTCGTGATCGTGAGTATGGAAGTGGGAGGGGATCTGGTGGCGAAGGGTGCTTTAAGTGTGGCAAACCTGGGCACTTTGCTAGAGAATGCCCAGATGAAGGGGCTAAAGGCAGTAGGTATGGGAGCAGGGATGATAGGTATGGTGGCAGCGGTGGTGGCAGGGGTGGAGGCAGTTATGGTCCTGACCGCAATGGAGATCGATATGGAGGCCGTAACAGGGATTCTGGTGGCCATGGGGGAGGTGATCGATATAGTCGTGACCGCTCTGGGCCTTACGATCGCCGAGGATCTGGGGGTTTCCGATCTGGGTAGTTCAATGTCTGACTTTATGGTATGCAACAAGTCACTGAAAATTTCTTTTTCCAATCTTCAGTCTATAGCTTAACTGATGGATTTGTGTTCATATTTGTGACAGCTGAAGTCATTGAAGTCCCGGTGCTCCTGGATGCAAGTTTTACATCATTTCTCTCTTGTTGGCATGTTGGCTAAATGGATCATTGTTGAAAGTATGACTCGGCATTAATAGTTTACGTATATCGTATCACTAAAATGTTCTATGGTTTGGTCCTTTGGGGTCCTATGCTTGTTTGATGTGCGGTTTCGAATCTGATCTTAGACTTTTGAATGCTATTATTCCAACTGGTTGCCTCCTTTCTTGCTTACACTACAATTAACTGCTGCTGGATTCGAATTCTCTCGCATTGGCATTATTCATCTCAATGTCTTTATGGAGTTATATGTGAATGAGGAATGATGATGAGAACTTGGAATTGGTGATAGTAAAATGTGGCCCCACCATCAGGTGAGCTCATGGAATTGAAACATAGATTCTAGCTTAGAAGTCAAGACTACTTTTCTTCTCCTATAAACTCGGTTTTTAGTGATTAAAAAAGAGTTAACAGGGTAATTGTTTATTTTCTGTATTTGAACCTTACCCAAAACTTCAACTCATGTTTAATTTCTGATTCTTGCAGTATTAATAATGTTAAACTTTTGGCAGGCTTCCTGGCTAATAATTATCAGATACCTGATGGTTGGCTTGCTTTTGCTTTTGGGCTACATTTATGCATAATAAAATTAGCTTTTTGAATTGCGGCAAGACCTGTGCAATTCCTTTATAGCTCTTGTTTTCTGCAAAAGTAAACCGAAGGAAGAGTTGCATTACTGTTAAAATACGCAGCAGATTCTATAGGTTATCTTCAAGATTTCAGCAACAGTTATATCCTGTTCGTTGCGATCTGGATTCACTTATTATGTTCATTTCAATAACCTTAAGGATGGTTTTCCCTCAAAATTGCTGTTCGAGGCTGCTGCTCACTTGAATTCAGTACTGTCCTGATTGGAAAAAATTCATTCTTGGTCCTGTCCTTGTTTTCTCTTCTTGCACCTGTTCGTTTCTCGTTAATTTTCCTAATTTTGTTTTTGGGGGAAGGTGCTGGAGGTTGAGAAAACCTTTTCTTTTCCCTTTGTAGTTCCTGCTTCCAAATGGGAAAGCTTTGTCGTTTATTCTGTGTACAGCTAGCATGCATCTTCTATTCTTTGCTGAAGGTTTGGTTTTCATTAATTTTTTGTGGTCTTGAGGAACTTAGTTGCTTTGATCTTCCAGCCCATAATGGCGTAAAAGGATTTACGTTGTTAACATCAAATTTAGAAAAAAAGGTTTCAAATCAGACGCATTCTTAGAGGATACTCATCAAACTGGTGTTCTTTCACCATCAGTGGATGTCAGGTTTGATGTAGTGTTGCTCATTATCCTGTCACAGTTGAATTACTGAGTAACTGCTTAAATTTCGTGGTCTTATATGCACGCTTATAAGCCATTTGTTGCACCGTAGAGTAATATCACTGTTTAGGTTGACTTTGTATTCTATTGCATTATAATGTCAATTTCTATCACTACAAGTCGTAGCGGCCCAGCGGGTGTTGTCTGGTTCATCTCCTGGCAACGTACCGCTGGCTATGGCTTGATCTGGGATTTGATTATTTTCTGTGGAATAAAATTAACTTGTGTTTGGTATACGCTTCAGTCTCAAAATTTAATTGGCCTAATATTCTTGACATGCTCAGATGTGGTCGTAATGTTATTCTTTGTGGCTATTTGATATTTCTTTGCTCATTAATTGCCTATTGATTTGTTGGATGTTGCATGTTTGGCTAATTATCCTTTTCTTTGAAAGTCGTCATGACTTGCATGTCTAAATTTATGAACATAGTTTTTGTTTCTGAACTTGAGTTGATGCTTAGAATTGAAGCGAGCTATATTTGCACGAGGATCGATCGAAGCTTCAAACCCTTTTATGTTATATTTTTTGAGACTAGGCCTAGTGATGTTCTTAACTTCAAACTTGAGTTGCAGAAGGGATTAGTATTGTTAGCTACTTTTACATTCTCGAACAGACCATTTAAATGTTGCCAGAGGATCTGGATGCATATGAATAAAACTCTGAATAAAGTAAAATTCTATGTTCTATATGTACCTACTCAAGGATGGAGTTTACACTGATTCTGTTTAAGTTGGGTCCGTAACCGAGGGAATGGTAGACGTATTTTGAGCCTGCTTGAAGAGAGAAATGGACAAGACTCGAGCAGCTAGTAAATTATGTCAAATCCTTTAATACAAGATTCTTTTCTTGAAAGGAACTCAAATTAATTTTCATTGATACCAATCATTTCAAATCTCGAGTCGAAATTTGGGGAGCCCGTCACCCATTCCTACTTAACGAAAGTAAAAACAGCATGTCTAGCGAGTGCACGGCCTTCCAAATTGGCCTTGTGTCTAACACGGTGCAATCTGAAGCTGGAAAAGATAAAGAAGGATAAGAAGTTGAGGATTATTTACGGTCGACACTTCATTTACACTGTCCGATTCAATGCAATAGATCACCTGCTTGTGTGCTTTAGAAAAACACAAGCCCTCAAAAATAATGTAACATTCGAAAAGATGCAGGGAGGAAATCATGGAAATACAAGAACATTAACTAATGAAGATCAGATGGTTTTATATCTCTTTTTAACTTGCTCCTGCGGAACCAATGGCGTAAAGATTGAAAAAATCAGTCATCTAATGAGAGAATAATATACGTGTAGAAATTAAAGTATTATCAAGATTTAACAATCTGCTATTAATTTTGCAATTATCCTATATAATTGTGTGGATCGCGTGATTAAAATCTACAATTTTGAGACATTGTATGACAGTATAATCCGAAGGAATTGTGGCCCAAACCAAAGAATACAAAGAAAGCAAAATTAGCAACTGCTAGCCTTCTCTTCTCTAAAATGTCTGATGAGGAAAATAAAACCACCTCCTAAAAGAAGAAAGAAGTATTATTACTTCGAGTTTCTTCCTTTTCCTCTTTTAGGCACATGATATTTTCCAAAAAAGAATTTCTTGCTCTTCCTTTGGGAAAGGGACAATTAGGGAAATCTTCTTGATTGCAACTTTCTTCGAACCTCCCGAAAAAGCATGAAAAAAAAAATGGATGTGCAATATTATATCTCTTTCATTAACTTCTTATAAATAGCCACGCTTCTCCATATCCAACAAGTATCAAACCCTGTATTCTCCCAAATTTCCATGAAGTCAACGAACCGAAAAGAACCTGAAAATGATACCAACAAGATGTTGGCAAATTATCAACATCAGGAAAATGGGAGAAGAACCAAGATATATATAATATCAATAAGATGAAGACGAATAAAAAATTATGATGAAAATGAAGGCTCAAGCACGACATTATATCGTTGTTCTCAAACGATATTTGCCCTCTTTCGGTAACAATTTCGTTGCTTAAAGGGTCTCGTGACAAACGGTTTGTAGGATTAATCAAGCTTTGTAGAGAATAAAACACTTAAGCACATGTGTGATTCTCCAAAACTTCAAGGACACAAGGAGGAAAAAATGAATATTGAAGAAGTAGACTTTGGTTTCTTCTTGTGGAATGAAGAGATGGTTTTTGTCAAATGTTTGTGATATGATTACTATGTCTTTTTAAAGACCATCAAAAACCTCTTTATAGCCATGAAACATTGCCACACGAAATGGTGCCAAAAGGAAGCGAAAAGCTGCCAATTTCAAACCACAACCGCCTCCGACAGTCACTGCGTGACTACCATGCGATCGCATGGTATAACTCCATGCGGTCGCGTAGAGTTCTTCAAACTGGCCTCTCCAGTTTCGGCTTGTGCCATGCGACTGCATGACCATATTGCTATGCGGTCGCATGGTATTCATCTTGGGCATCCAATTTTAGTTTTATTCCACTTTTGTTCCTTGTTTCACTTTCATTCCACACACATGATTCTTTTGATGTTGAACAACAATATATATCAATCCTCCACTTGTTCAACATTCAATAAAATCTCATATTCAAAGTATACGATACCCATGCATAAGGATTGGATATCTTTCGATTTGAATCTAATCATAGTGTAATTCAAACAAAGTAAAATTAGAATCAAAGGTAGTCGTAGTTTTGAACCAGTTATTCCATGTGACAATACTGGTTCAAACACACACACTAGTACCACGTGTTCTCAAGTTTCTCATAACTCGCTTAGCGCTATTATGGCCTTGCGCCCATCCTATTCAACAAACTTTATGAGAGAAACTCCAACTCTCAATTGAGGCGACATCACCTCGAAGTTTGTTTCGGTGAAATTCTTCCAGTACCTTTGTTACTTTTAGAGATACTTGTGTTTTAGCACTGAACTTTATTAAGAGCTTTAATGCTCAACCCTCACTTTAGTAACCACCAGCATTATTTTATTTAGGAGGTTATCGCAAATTTAATATAATATTGAAACTATCCTACATATCGAATGACTTATTTTTTACCATTTAAACTCACGGATTATCTTTTGAGTAATGATAGGTAGGGTTGTCGTCATTGGTAGACTTTTATAGTTTAGGATTTTCAATCCCATCCTACTCAAAGTAGATATCACTAAATCTCTATTTAGAGTTTTAGTCAAAGGACCCTCTAAGTTCTCATTTGACCTTACATAATTTAGGGAAATTATTCCATCCTTAATTAATTTCCTTATTAAGTTACGTCTAAAACTTATACGTCTAGACTTCCATTATATGTGACTTAGTATCTTATCAAATATAGCTAGCCAATGATCGATTTATTTGATAGATACAACTTCTCATCATCAAAAATTCTCTTTTTATGAAGTCACAAGCTTCTCACTTGCTTTATTTAAAGCTTTACATATTTTCCAAAACATGGTTGGAAGATTTTTATCAACCAATACACTAATCAATCACTTTAATTTTTTTGTGGACAATGATTTTCAATAGCATGAATATTCTTTTAAATTTTCAAATTGTTGTGCAAACGCAATAATCGGCTTTCACCCAGTTTATCCACCTTAGACTTAGTGTATTCATCCTTATAATTATATATAAGAGTTTTCCACCTTTTCTCCTTCATAGATATATTTATATGATTAAAAGGTTTAGGGAATTTTAACTTTTATATTAAGTTACCCCCACAATTCCTCAATTAGAAATTTTCATGCAATCTTGTAATATTGTAACTTGAACTTCTCATACAAGTCAAAAGCGTTATTAATAATCCCCACATTTGGGATTATACTTGAACTTAGAGTTCATCAACTCTTTCTAATTCAATATATTTATCACTCTGATAACATCCTTGAAAGGTTAAGTAATTTCAAATAGTAGTAATTAAGTCACAATGTACTTCTTCAAACCAGTATTTTGATCACACAATTTGATCAAGGTCATCTCACAGACCATTAATGCTTTTCCAGGCACAAACCAACTCAATTGGTTCCATAATTGAAGTCAAATTCATCCATGAGTAAGGCTAAACATCTTGATTCACAAGATTTACTACTTTTCCAAACATAAATGACTTCTCGCTTTTGTGACATAAGATAAGATTGTATCATGTCAAACCATAAAGTATATGTTCGCCTTATTCATATTTGGACAAAATCACATTTTGTCATACTAATATGCAAACACAATTTGTGCTCTACA